GTGGAAAGACATTTAGAAAGGTTTGGTTACACATTTACATCTTAGAACAAAAATTCAGCTACAAATCAACGAACAATCAAAAAGGAAAATTGTATGAAATGTTATCTTAATTTATTAGAATTAAATGAAAATATAACACTAAATAGGACGGAGTGGAGAAAAAGGATGCATGTAGCCGACCCCACTTAGTGGGATAAAGGTTTTGTTCTTGTTGATGTTGTTGTCAAATAATTCTTGATAATAATAACTTGGGATGAACAATTTCGTCATTACTGCTTTTATCTCCTCTCATGTTTCTATTTTGTGCTCTTCATTTCGCCTATGCTGTGAACTACTTGATCCCACCAAGTTATTTTATAATCAGTAAATTCATTCTTAGATCAAACTCAAACTCCATCTTCTTTTCCCATTCATAATATTTTCCTTGATTAGATCGGTTTTGAAATGAACAAATTTTCATCTTGATATGACTCATAGTATTTTCTTTTTGGTTTCTAGCTTTTTCTCTCCCTTCTACACTATGGAAGATTACAATGTAATACATATCTTTTTCCTCCTCATAAGAGCTACATTGATGGGATCCTTTTCCATTCTTACTAGACTTAGTGTACTCTTTTCCCTTCTTGGCATTTATGACAAATATTGTGGTTCTCCTCGAGAAGTTCCTTCTATACGATCCAACCTTTCATAAATATGTTCTAATTTGTTTTTCATCGTGTGTTTCATCTCACCTAATATAGCTTAACTTTGGAAGCTTGGAAGGATAGTTGGGTATTCCTTGTGGGCTTGGTTTGAAGGATCCATCGAACCACTAGCATTTCTTCATCATTAGCTAGAAGTCGGTACTCCTATTTTACATCCTCATCTTCTCCCATGTCATATCTATTTCTTCCGTTTCTCCCTGCTCAATTAAAAAGATTATTCTCTTGTTTGGGCAAGTCGTGATACTTGAAGTACTTTATATCTTGAAAGGATTTAAGAGTGTTGGTGGCTTTCAACTTTCTCTATTATAGATTGAGTTTTTACTTAAGAGTATAGCTTGGGTGCTTATTGAGTGTACTCTTGTTGCATGCTCCTAGGATTGAGCTTTGTTTGTATGGTGTGGTGATATTGCTTCTCCACCTTTTAAAGTTGGGGTCTACACATCAAGTAAGGACCAATAGAATTTCAACTGCACCAAATTGTTGATGGATGGTTTCAGTCTTTCAAGGTATCTTATTATTATTTGCTCCTCTGATTCCATCAACTCACATTGCACCTTGAGTTGATCTAAATTGGTTGTGTACTTCATAGAAGAATCTCTTCGAGGCAGGTTGAATGTTAAGAACATATCCCATCGGTAATATGGGTGAATATATTTGGGCTGTATTTTTTTTTCTCATAGGGCATGTGACCTTGCTCTTTCATCGTCGTTCTCAAAAATGCTTCAAATTCTCCCAACACAATGACACGTCTTTTAAGTTTGATTGTTGCTAGTATGACTTGCTTCTCCTAGGGAATGCCTTATACTCAAAAATTCATTTCATTTTTTGTAGTCACTCAATGGTTTCATCTAGATCCAAACATAAATCAAAATCTAGTGAGTCAATTCATTTGAATTGCGATGTCTGTCGAAATCCTCCAAGTCAATTTTTACCTTAAAATCATTGCCCCTTCTTTGATATTCAATGCCAAATGGTTTGGGCATTCATTTTTCATCATTGGCAACTTTTTGGTTGAAGGGATTCTCCATTTTATTACAATCCAATGTGTCACCATTGTGGCTACGGTTGATCTCCGGGTGTCTCATCTCAATGAGGAAAGCCCTTATTGTAGTTGGAGGATCTCCCTTTGCATGTCTTCCATTGTAAGCTCCTGTACACTTCTTTGTATGTTTCTCCTCAGTGATGTAGTGTCTCTTTCTTCCAATTAAATTGTTGGTTTAAAAAAAATTGGTGGTTAGGTTAGGGCTAGGACTTGAGATGATTTTGTTCTGGAGGTAATAGGTTAGGTTATGTTGATTTAGGTTTAGGGCTGAAAAAAAAAATCAAATCCTTGGAGATCAAAAGTTTGTCAGGTTTTGATACCAAATGATATCATTCTAGGTTTCCTAGGTGTTTATGGATAAACAATTTAAGATAAGAGTAGGATTTGGGAAGGAAATTAGGGGTAATTTTTGTTTTGGGGATGAAACCAGAAGAGCACAGAGCTGGTCCTGGGCAAGTAGGGTATAGATGTCAATGGGCGCCACGAAAACAGTCCGAGAATGTCTTCGACAGCGGATATCCTAGGTAAGAACAGCAAGAATATCGTCCGGTGGCTGCTCAACATGACATGAGCTTCAAGGAAGGTTCACCGGTTATTCCAATGAAGCTATAGACACAACACTTGAGAAGTGAAATGATATAACACTCATAATGTAAGAAATCTGAGAGAATTCTCAGCCCAACATAAATCTAAACCAATACAAGTCCTCAAACCAGTCCAAATAAAATATACATATAGTTATTCAAATAATTAACCCTAATACCAATGCTTATTGAAGTAATTGGACCAGCCCATGAATAGAACCGGCTAATCGGGCCAGTTTCGTGTTCACACATCCGTCCCACATGATCCAGAACACTCTGCTTTGCAGTGGATTTTGCCTTTCTTTTGAAGTTCAAACAAGTTATTTTATTGCATTTTTCTATATAATGTAATAGGGCGGCTCATTTTTGTGCTCATGTAGATGCGATGGTGAGCTTTCGTCTATACTTGTAGATGACAATTCACATTTTTGTACATGAGAGATGCGTACATGCATTTTTTTGTAACATTTTTGGTATTTTAATGCAAAGTGCAATATTTCAAGGAACACTCTACTGCCCAGTGGAAATGACATCCCTGTTAAGGATGTTCATCATTTTGTGTTTGCATGTCTCACTTGCCAACAAATGGAATACACCTACCATTAGTTGGTAGGCTGGCTTCAGCCATTGCCAGTATCAAATCTGGAATGGGAGTAGATCCTTATGAATTTTATAAACATTTTGCCTCAGTCACAACGAAAGCCTATTATTTGGTGGTCGGACATCTATGTTGGACATTTGTAAATTTATGACATCTTAAAGACGATCATTTTGGATTGTGATTTTATGTTTACAATTTTTTCTAAATTGAACCATTCCAATTTTTTGAAACTACATTAAGCTACAATAATATTTTTCACTCAAGGAAGATGAACGAACATAAGTTAAATAGGGGGTTAGAGCATTATTTTTACTATTTTGTGATGAACATGCTATCGAGGTGGACTATTGCTAGACAGAATTCTTTTTTCATCACACTTACTGAATATTGAGGCAGTCCCCATGACTTTAACAAAACATGACAATGTGCCCCAGCTGAACGATTATTTACATGATGCACTAAATTAAACGATACAACAGTCGAATGAAAAATAGATAGGATTTGCATTTCGCCATTGTTGATTTAGTTTTGGTTAAACCACAACCTCACAGTCAAATGTTTTTGAAGGATAATCCTCTTAGGAAGCTTGACTAACGAAGTTATGGCACTTTTCACGTCCAGGCTTTTATATGTGCGGTGGTGTATAAATCAGAACTATCAGACACTGCCAAAATACATCCGATTTTTAATGTCCCTTGCATCAAACCATTTTGAAAATATCCCATCATACATCCAATCCCATTACTATGTTCTTTTAGGGCTAGTCCTTAATTTTTCCGTTGGACATTTTCTATTGATGAACTATCATGAAGGGGGGTGACATAGCGGTGTAATACTAATGTGACAAGTTTATTAGAAGACATAGTTATGGATTCTTATGGATGCTTATGCTCTTCCTATTAAGATTTTGACCTTGAGGGCATTTCCATTCTTGACTGTGTGAGTAATGTTCTTACCAAGTTCATTGGGGGATTGAAAAACAAGTTTAAGAACACCAAAATGGATGGCAGATTTCTAGCCAACATAATGAACCAGAAAATGGTTATGACAGCAAGAATGAGGCAAGAAAATAAAATAAATAGCTGTTTTGTACATAATGCTGTATGGGTTGTCAAGGTGATTGCTAACACCTGTCTTGAAGTTTATCCTTTTAATTTTTAGTACAATTGTGGTTTATCGGGTTGTGAAACTCTCTGGTAGTTACTAGATTTAACTTCGTAATTCTTATTTGAAAGGCTATAAATATAAAAGAATAGAGCTGAACAGGACAATGAAAATTAGTCCTTTTCTTTTTTTCACTTTTTCTTTTTTTTAATCTTTGGAGACATTGATTTCCATCTCAAAGTATGATAGCTAAAACTGCCTGACTGACTCAAAGTACTTATCAAATACCATAAATCATTTCATCATTTTTTTTTTATATAATGATTATTAGCTAGTAATAGCATATATTATTAATTGTAATAAGTGCACTTCAATTAAATAGAGTGTACGCTTTGTTTGCCCTTCAAGTTTCGAAGTGATAAAAACTCATCCTCACATTATGCTTTGTATGTTGACATTTTGGTTGATGTTGGAATAAATAAAGATCATACTTTGACTCCATCATTGGGACAAATTCTCTCTTTCTTGAAGCCATGAGGCTCTTTCTTCCTTTTATCTTTACTCTGCTGTCCCTGTTTTTGATGCATTTTATACATCTGTTCTTCTGAATCTCTCCTCTCTTTGCCTCCTTAATTCTTCCTCTATGCCAAGTTTTTCCATCTCAACAATAAGACATCAACAGAAGTTCACTCTGGTTCTGCTGTCCAACTTGTCAGCATTTCTAGTTAGTAATTACAGGTCAAATCATCTCCTCACATGGAAGCAGTTCATTTGTAACTATGGTTTTTATTACTTTTCAGGTTGTTTATTTTACGTTGCAATAATGCTCTGATTTTTAGCTATTAAGAAGTGCATGCTTTGCATTTTTCTCTTCTTAACTTGATGGCCTAATTTCTATTTTCCTTTTTCATATTCTTTATTCAAATTTTCTCACAGGCTTTTGTTATTTTTCTTTTTGTGAATAGGTCTTGGAAATTGGATCTGTTGGCAAAGGCATAAGTGGAGGCGTAACAACCTTTTTTGCACACCCAGGACAGGTAATTTTTCCATAGTTACTCTTTTTGAGTTTATTGTTGTAGTAGTTTTTTCTTTCGATCTGCTCATGTAAATTACTGGATTATATTCTATTAGCATAAATTTTGTTTGTAGCTAGTTACACTGGTTTACTACATTTTTTAAGACTTGCCCACCTCTATGTTTTCAATTCTGTTTTCAATCTTTGCTTGCTATCACCCTCAGAACCACCATGCCTCGAACTTCTTGCAATTTTTTTTTCTTGTTCTGGAGATGTTTATAAATCATGTAGAAATTCTATTTGCAGGTGAGGTTTAAGCTTGCAAGTTCAATATTTGATGCACATGATCAATTTGTGGTTTAAAACAGTCTTATTATTGATGATTTTTTTTTATGTGGTATATGGCTGTAGGACTTCATTGGAAAGGAATACATTTATGCAAATGTAGATCAATAGCATGGAAGGGCTTGGATTTGAAAAAGCATTCAGGAATACTTCCACTGTATAGCTGAGCTATATATATATATTTATATTTATTGCTATTTATATATATGATGGTGATTTTTGTCGTCTATGATTCAGTCGCGTATGATTCAGATGCGATCGAAGGAAAAGGGCTGGCATCTCATCAGTCCTCAGCGTCATCCGTTTCTTCTATTCGCCTGTTTCGACGCCGAGTTCTTCGCGTCTTCTGACGGCCCGCTCTATTTCGACGTTGAGCTTCTGTGCTTGCGCCTTTACGTCTTCTGCCGGCTCGCGTCTCCTTTTTCTTCTGTCAGCTCGCGTCTTTTGTCAACTCGCTCGTCTGTTTCGATGCCGAGCGTCTGTCGGCTCGCATTTTCTGACTCATTCGCCTACTGCGCATATGGGGCGTCATTGCAAGTGGACTTTCTCCCTGTTTGATGAGTGTGCTCCCTTCTTCGGTTGAACCTGACAAAGCCTCCTTCGCCTACGTGGTGGGTAATCATCTGGTAGAGTCGGCTGTTGTCTTCCCCTCAAGCTATAAGGAATGTCGTGATGGTACAGGTGATTGCTCTTTTGCTAAGAAGACAAGTAGGAAAGGTGGGACAACAACACTCTTTTTCTCTAATTTAGCAATTTCAACCTTAATTGAGAAAGTCAAATTCGCTCTTATTAGAAAATTTCAGTGGGGGCACCCGCCTATGGATACACCTTTAGAAATTATAAGAAAGAGTTTTGATGATCTCAAACTAGTAGACAAGTGGAAAGTGGGTTTCATTGATGGGAGACATGTGTTGATTCAGTTAACCATGATTGTACCAGTATAGTTTAGTTTACCTAGTCTCAAACTGCATTTTTTTAATCATCAGGTTTTTTACTCTATTGGAGTCATATTTGGGGATCCTATGAAGCTTGATCTACCCACCTTCAATCTAACCAGGCCTTCTGTTGCTAGAGTATTTGTGGAACGAGATATCACTTTATCTAATATTACAAAAGTCTGGCTGGGCACAACACATAATGGATATTGACAACAAATTCTCATGGGGCATAGACCTTTCTATTATACCCATTGTAAAATGTTACAGACTCCATCTTAACTTGAAATCTACAGCTCAAGTGAATAAGGATGGGTCTAACCTATGGAAGAAATTACCACAAGACAGGAATTGGTGACTGATTTAATAGTCTCTGGGGATCCCCTTAACATTACTATTTCTGTTTCAGCGATTGATGTTTTGTCGGATGGCTCTGCTGGGCAACCTACACCTTCAAACATTATTGAAAACAATACTAAAGGATTCTTACTTTTAAAGGAAAATGTTCGAACCGATAATAGGGACAGCTTGCAGCTTCTCATCTTCAGAAAGTATCCGGTGTAGAAGCGACAATTCATACTTTACATACACTAGAATCCAATGTGATTACAACGGTTGAAAATCCTTCTACCGCAGTTCTACCACCTCATCTAAACAAGAAACTCGTTATTGTTAGTCAGGCGCAAGGGATTCATTAACTTACACATACCCGACAATTTGTTGACCAACATACTGATCAGATGAGCCAGTCTTCGGATGAGGAATGACAGGTTTACACATCCAGGAGCAAGAAGAAGAATGGTGACCTACTTGAGCTCATGAATCTAATGGATGATACATTGGTTACTTCGGGTAATGACACGCAACTCACCAATTTGTTGGTTGGCTCCCTTCCTAGAACTAGAGACAGAGGCAGGACTAAATTAGGTCGTCCCTAACTTTTTGCGCGTTTTGGTGGTTTTGGTTTCTTTTGGTATTACTTGTATCTTTATTTTTTTTTTTGTGGTGCACCATGTGGGTAGGGTGCCTTCTTGGGCCCACTCATATAACTTATCTGTATCATTTCCATTTTAATATATTAGCCATTGGGCTTTTTAGAAAATAATATATATATATATATATATATATATTGGGGGAAAGAGCAGTGGTGGCTTGCTATGCGTTAATATCAAAAAAGAGTACAGAGAAGGGGAGGGGGGAGAATCCCCGTCTAAGAAATCCAAAAAATACATTTAACACACCCCTAGGAGCTCCTCTCCCCGCATTACAACTCACACAAAAAATTGTCCCAAAAATTACAAGTATACCCAAAAAACCATATAACCAAAAATAAGTAAACCTGTGAACATGTAAGACTTGGTAAGCCAAATTGAAAACATGTACAAAAGCCGTCTTCATAAAAGAATAGTCCTCCATCAGCGTTATCCCAAAATGTCATCCAACACAAAATCGTGAGATGAAATCTGTAAATGGAAAGTGCAAACCCGAAACAGGAAAACCGAAAACCTATCATCCAGAATGCCAATAAACAGGAAGAATTAAAATCGGACATAAGGCAGGTTTAGATTGTCTCCAATGATGAGTCTTTTAAGATGAGCAGGAGGGTGAATCCCAACGTGACAAACCTCCTCAGCACCTTTGGCAAGCCAGTCAGCTGGTGAGTTGCCCTCTCTATGAATGAAACTCCAATTTACCTCTAGATGCTTCTCAGGCATTACATTCATGATACGTTTAAAGTATCCCACGTGGGTGGAGAAATACCCAATAGAATATCAAAGAGCAATTTAGAATCCATTTTCACCTCTAATTTATGAAAATTGAAAACACTAGCCACCGTTAAAGCCAGAAATACCTCCCAGCATTCCGTTGCCAAAGGGTTATAGGGTTAACAGCCGCAACAGGGGAGGAGAAAAAACAGAGACATCTACCTTCAAAATCCCTAAGGATTACCCTAACCGCAACATAATATGGATGCCAACAGCCATCCACATTTAATTTAACATAATTTGGTGGGGGAGGAGTCCACCTAACGAACCGAGGAGGCTTTAAAACGGTAACATCAGTGGAAACAGCTCTTAAGACTTTGTTATAATAGGCAATCACATATGCAACCATCATAGAAGCTGTGGGGGGGAAGTATGGTATTTAAAACTATTTCTTGCATTGCAAAGAAACCAAAGAACCAATAAAGGTAGGAGAAACCCCCCTTTACTATTATCAAAATCTTTCCAACGCCATAGATAATTGCTTAAAGAGCCTCTATGCATCCACGAAAACTCAAAATAAGAAGCAATAATATCCCAAACTTTTAAGGAAGAGGCACATTCGAAAAAAATGTGTCTCGTGTCTTCCTCCATTTTGCACATACTACATCTGGAGACCATTTTTAAACTTTTAAGCTTGAGAATATCATCAATAGGAATTAAAGATGTGAGATAACGCCAAAGGAGAAAGGAGATAGAGGGAGTTAACAATTTATGCAAAATCCACTTCCCCCAAAACCAATCACGATGTGAGTGTAAAGTGCTATAAATAAGCTTGCAAACCGATTGGGAGTTATTTCTTTTCCAGAAGGGGAGATCCCTTCTTGAAGAGGTAGTAGGAATAGTAATTATATGCTTTGCATTTTGTTCCCTCACAATAGAACATAATTTGGGAAAATCCCAACCATCATTAGTAAAGAAATCAGAGACTAAAAGGGAATTATTGTGCTGGGGTTGGGAATAGTCTGAGAGATGGGACAACCCCCAATTGTCATTCCAGAAAGAAATATTGCCATCGCCTATATCCCAAAACATGATGTTATTAGCAGTGGTTCTAGCATTAACAACAGCTTTCCATATACGAGAATCATCAACCTTCCACGAAACCAGGGACGAATGAGTATGAACACAATATTTTTTATGTAAAAAAGTAGCCCAGAAAGATGAGCCCAATCTGAATTTAAACCAAAGTTTGCAAAGATTAACTTCCACAGTATGCTTCAAGGTTTTAAAACCGAACCCACCAGCCTTTTTAGGTTTGCAAACTTTATGCCAAGAACCCCAAATTTTTTTTGTTCCATTTCCATCCATTTTCAACCCAAAGGAATTTATTGAAAAGCCTCTCCATCACTTTGATAGCACTCTTTTTGGGGTTAAATACTTGCAAAGCATATAATGGGATACTCTGTAGCACACTAGTAAGTAAAGAGATCCTCTCCCCAGTAGAAAGAAAAACATTCCTCCAATCGTAAATTTTTCGTTTGATTTTATCAATAACATCATCCATTTGTATCTATTTTCTCCTTCCCCGTATTAAATTTACCCTGAGATATTTAAGAGGTAGAGAGGCGTGATGAAAACCAGTGTGTAAGCAACTCCCCAGTGAATAATATGATATTTCACCTGCTTACCAAAAAACATCTGACACTTGTCACAGTTAAAGCGTAGCCCAGAACAATTCTGGAAATCCTGTAGCAGCCCCATCACATTTTTTATAGAAAGTTTAGAAGCATTAGCAAAAATAATGACGTCATCTGCATAAGCAAGGTGAGAAACCATCATTCTGTCTTTGTGTTAGAACTGTGTGTGAGGATGTGAAAACTGAAAATGATTGAGCATCTTGGAAAAATATTCAAAAGATAAAATGAAAATAATAGGGGAAAGTAGATCTCCCTGCTTAATGCCACGACACGCTGTAAAAAAATCATATGAGTTTCCTTTGACCAGCACCGAATAGAAGTTGTTAGCCAACCATCTTT